GATCTTGTAAGCCAGGGGCGGAGGGCGGGAGCCACCGCGACAGCCTCGGCGGCGGAGGGGAGGGGCTTAGCGGCTCGATGGGGCGGGGGTCAGGGGGGCTCAGGCGCTTTTCTAATTTTCTAGGCTTTCTCGTGCTTTAACCCTTTTCTTTTTCTTTGCCCCAGGGCGTTTCTTTCGACTAGCTTCAGCTCCCGGGACGAGGAGGAGATGATCTGTCCTCAAACTCCAGTTCAACTGGCGCACAGCCATATCCTGGCGCCCGGGAGTGTTCTGAGGCGGAGGAGGCAGATCAGAGACTCGGGTTTCAGTCCCACCTCTGGTAACAATAATCGCCACCATCCTCTAGGTGTTTCCCTATGTCCTGCACTGCCCCTACGATATCTCATTTAATCTTTGAACAGTAGTCCTGGGAATTACCTGTTAATACCACTATTTAGAAAAGGAGGAAGCTGCCTCAGAGAAGCTCAAAGACTTCACCAAGGACATATTCAATCCAGTCTGATTACAAAGCCAGTCCAGAGCCCCCTACAGTTTAAGGGCTCTCCATCTCTCTTTGCTCATGGGGGAAGGAAACTAGTGTTTCTTTGGCTCTAGCCCTGGTCCTAAGGTTCCAATTTGAGTTTCCCCAAAACTCTCAAATCCAGTTCTCTTTCTTCTACTCCTTAGTTGTTAGAAGTAACGACTAGTTTATAGTAAATTGAAGCCACCACTTGGCCCATCTTTTTTTGGTACAAAAACAGAAAGGGACAAGGAGAAAGCACTTACTCTTATTAAGACAGCTTTTGTGTGAGAGGAAGTCATTGTGTATACAAATCTCTCAGCATCTTTGGATCACAGACGAATTGGAACCTCTCTCCCTGAACTACCATTTAGATGGCCTTCCAAAAGTCTGCTGCATTTGGGAGATCACCTTGAAGTTCACTTTGACCCACTTTCACTTGGTAAAAATGAACAATATATTAGGCCATGGAAGGCGATTCAGAAAAGATCTGGGTTCTGGTCTTAGCCCCACTGCTCAATATCTCTGTGGCCTGGGTTGAAATCCATGTTCTTCTGAGCACATGGCTTTGGACAAGACAGCCAAACATGCTTTGTTTAGCTTTCTCATGTTAAATGTACATAAGATGGCCCAACTCACAGGCATTTGGCTATTTAAAAGAAATACCTGAGAAGACCCTTAACTGTACCTATTCCATAGCCAGGATGCATGTTTACCCTTACCTATTCAAAGCACAGAAAGCTATTTTTCCTTACACATGTTCTCTGTCACAAGGTGTTCATGAGCATTAAATGAGATCACAATGTAGAAACACTGTGAGTGATGAAATTTCCTTAAGTTCTTGCAATATAGGTGAAAAGTACAAATGGAGGAGGTTCAGACCATTCCTTTCTAAACTCTTTAAAAGCTATTTTTTCAGCTGTGGCAGATATGCTATTGGACATACAACCTTGCCAAAGAAGAAAAGCTTAATTTAAAAGGTAAAATAGCTACTCCTCAAGGCCATATAGCTGGACAGTTTTTCCTTTTTTATTCAAGTGGGCTCTGGTATCATGTCCCTTTCATTTGAATTCAAAGATGCCTGAGTTCAGACTGAGACACCCAGAATCTGGTCAGCAAGGCCCAGAGCTTAGTCAGAAATGCCCATGACTCTACATTCAACATCTTACATTTGAAAAATCTCTTATATCCCTGAGAGTTACCTAAATCCTGACATAGTCATATTCCAAATAAATAGCATGTGAAAAGATTTCCATGTAAGAGCCTTTCTTCACTTGCAGACAGTTGGGTCACTGTACCACAGTTGACTTGAAGTTAGGTAAAGCTGATTCCAATCCTAGGCCTGTCTGTTGATAGGTAAGTGTCTTTAAGCAAAATAGTTTATCTTTTTAAGGTTCAGTTTCCTCATCTGAAAAATTGGAATGGTACTAACCATCCTAAGGGTTTTGGTGAGAATTATGTAACAGGCAAATAATACTTTGAAGTCTTACCTTCTTCCCATGTGCACAATGGGGATAGTCTCATCTCCTCAAATTTGTTAGGCAGTGGTGTGTATGAAAGCAGCTGTTAAGCACAAAATAGTGTTTAGCAAATGTCTATGAGCTTGATTTCTTTGGCCCCACCCATTCCTAACTGATACATCACACTATGAAATCAGCATCATTTGTCCTTTTCACACAACAAAGTGAGTGCCTATTTTCAAGTGCAAGACAGCAGCTATATTTGCAGGATTTCTAAGAAATCCACTTAGTACAGTGGAGGGAATGCTGAAACTATAGCCAGAAACTGATACTTAGAGTTTAATTCTGCTTTTATGATCTGGCTGACAACAGAAAACTCACCCCTTGGGCTTGGATCTCCCCACCTATGAAGAGTGAATAATAGGAGCCTATTTAAAGGAAAGTCCATAAAATGCTGGAAATGGAAGGTCCTTTGTCAACCGCAAAGCTCTACATACAAAAATAACATATTGATGACTTCAGTCACAAAGTTGATCCTTGTACAGAAATATTCATACAGTCACTAATTCATCTGAATTCAACAGAAAGGTATTGATAGCCACAAGGTACTTAGCATTATGGGAGTACTGAGGATGCAGAGAAAAGAAGCTATGATTCCCACCCTTTCTGCTGGAGAGGAAGACATGCAAACAGGCTGTTGTAATATAATGTGAAGCATGTCTCGGTAGAAATAAATTAAATGTACCATTATTGATGCAAAGATATCAGTTCTGCCCAAAGGAGTGAAGGCCTTTACATAGACAGGTAGCATTTGATTAAAGACTTAAATGGCATTTTGAGTGTGTCAAGCAAATAAGCAACATGTCTCCCTCAAAGAGTACATCCTGAACAAAGGCACAGCTAAATGGAATCAATAGTGTTTATGGAAAAATGTAGGCAATAAACAAAAAATGACTTATGCTTGAAATAATTCTACACCTCAGATCAAATACATCCTTAGGGTTTCCACTATCCAACTCAGTTGTATGTATGTCCTCTGCCTGGTGGGCTCAGTTGCTTTTTTTCCCTTGATCTCCTTTCCTTTGGGATAGAGTTCTATCTGTGATATAACTGGTTTCCATGAAGTCAGTGGCCAGCTTCAGCGGGGCCCATCAGCCCCTCCTGCTACACCCTGAGTGAGCACGCTCACTTGAGTGGCTTTGACATCAATACATTTCACTTCCTGTAGAGCAGAGGGACAAGCTCAGGCTTGCACTGGAGACTGCAAAACTCCAAGCCAGAGCTCTTCCTCCAGTAGTGCCTAAAGCTGAGCAAGTGGGATTAGTCTCCTTGGGAACCAAGCCTCCCAGGGGCTCAAGGGCTGAACTCACCCCAAACCATTTGGGAGAAATGAGATTTCATATTGTTCTTTTACACTTGGGTTTCAGGACATTATTTAGACAAAAGCCCACCTGAGAGCTGCCTCCTTTTTGTGGGTAAATATAGCAGCAGGATCAAAAGCTGACTTTCTTATTTTGTTTTCCTCTTTGCAACTTTAATCATATTCCCTGCAGGACAATTTTAGTCCTCAGAGATGTCAGGAATGCACATTTATAATGAAAGAAATAATTATGCATGTTTTTTTCTTCTCTTGCTAAACCAATTTCCTGTCACTCGCTAGTTTTGAAATCTCACAGCAAATTAATTACACAATTTACAAAGTATCACTATTATAATACGGTGTTACCTTACTAATTGTATGCACACCCCAAAATGTGTCTTTTACTTTCCCCCTCATGTTTTACCCCTTACAAACTAAACTACATTCTATCAGCAATATATCCTACTTTCCTACTTAAAATATTAGATGTTACCTCAGTTACCTGTAATTGCATGAAAAATTGCTCCAAAACTTAGTGACTTAAGGTGCCAACCAGTTTATTATGTCTATCAATATCATGGGTCAGCATTTAAGCACAAGAATCTAAATGAACCTTCTGATTCTTGGGACACTGGCAAGGTCTGGCCTGGAGGATCAAAACTGGTATCATTGATATGAATGCAGCTTACACTGCTGGCCTCTCAGCATACTTATCCAAGAGTTCTCAAACCTCTTGCACGAAGCCCCCGGAATTCCAGATAATTTCACAAGAAGTGCAACTTCCAACTGCCCTGGAATCCCCAGAAGTTCTCTTTCACTACATTGTATTAGTCAAGCAAATCACTAAGCCCAGCTCAGACGTAAGAAGAGAGACATTAGAACCCACCCGCTTCATGAAACAAAGAGCAGAGAACTTATTTGGTGTGTCTCTTAAATCTTCTAAAATCTGCAATCCCCATCCCCACCCCATTTTGTTTACTTCACAATTAGTTTGCTAAGGAAACTAAGTCATGGCTTTATCAACTTTCCCACATTCTGTACTTGTGGTTGATTGCACCCGTCTCCATAATGTGATTTAACATGTTCTTTGTAGCCCCTGTGTTCCCTGCAAAACAGAAGTAAATATAGAGATTTGATGATATTTGTGTTTTTATGTACTCTTTCTATATTATACAGCATGTTTAATACACTTAGAATAACAATATTGTCCTTACTAATAATATAATCACTGCAATTAGATTTCAATTTATTGCTGTTTCATCTTCCCCCGTTCTTTTGTTCTCCAAACATTTCTGAACAATCTTCCTACATTTTAAATCACCTGTTGCAAAAATAAATAAATAAATAAAAATAAATCACCTGTTTGCTTATGCCATCAAGTCAATGAATAGGTTCATTTGTTTTGCTTTGCTTTTTACTTTTTAAAATACTTTATAATTCTTTAGCTGGTCATGGTGGTACATATCTGTAACCCCGGCACTCCGGAGGCTGAGGCACAAGGATCACACCGTGAGTTCGAGGCAAACTTGGCCTACATAGTGAGTTCAAGGTGAGCCTGAACTACATTAGCAAGAACCTGTCTCAAAACTAAAATAAAATAAAAGACTTTATAAATCTTTAACTTTTTCATAATTTTTGACAATTTAAGTGGTTTAAAGTTCAAAACTATATCACAAGGCTCATTTGTACGCCAACATTCCTATAGGTAATTTTTGTTTTGTTTCATTCAGGTTCAGGTTTATAATTTGTGTCTTAGTGACCTTTTCAAAACTGGGACACAATAACCAATACCCACAGTCAATAGGAAGAGAGGATTTTTAGAGGATTCAGTCCATAGTCAACTGTCTTCAAGGCAGAAGGGGCTTGGCAAAAAGGTCTGGCAGAGGAAAGCTGCTCACATTATGGTGACTCAACAGCAGAGAGAAGGGAGGAGGCAAGTAGAGAGATCTATCCTTCTAGGTGACCTTCCTCTATCCAGGTCCTATTTCCTAACAGCACATGCAGGCTGAATTCCTTGGAGAATTATCCACTGCTGACATAGTCCCCTCATTGATTCAATTGCCTTCTAAAAGCCCCATCTCTGAACATATGAGCCATGTGGGGAGAATTTTAGATCTACAATATAACATTCCACCTTTGGCCCCCAAAAGACTCATGTCCCTCTCTTCACACAAAATGCATTTAGTCCATTTCTTACAGTTTCCAGTTTTAACAGTTTCAGCAGTGCTGAAAAGTCCAAATCCAAATTCTCTGAGATTGAAGGCAAAGTCATAGCTCTGAGCACCTGAAAAATCAAAAAGAAAGTTAAACCCTTCTGACATGCAACAGCACAGAGTAAACATTCCCACTCCAAAAAGGAGAAATAGGGACATAGAAAAGAATGGGACTAAAGCAAGACAGAAATCCCACAGGGCAAACATTAAATCTTATAGTTCCATGCCCAGCACCCGGGACAAGTGGTGGTGAGATGTGAAATCCTAGGGGCTTGGGCAGTGCTGTCCCTATGGCATTGACAGTCACAGCCCTCATGGACTCTCTCTTGAGTAGGTGCTCCTCATTGCTTGTGAATTTTCTCAGATGGCACAGGTAACTCCCTTTGACTTCCTAGAGTCTCTGCTACTCTTTTGGTTTTACTCTTACAGCTTCATGCATACCCTCTTAAGGGCACATTGACTAGTGTGTGAGGACTTCTTCTGAAATCTAGATGAAACCTCCCTGATGCAACAATTCTTGCATTTTTCATGTCTTAAAACAAGCACAGTATGGATGATACCAAGGTCTGCTGCCATCTCATAGAGTAGGCAGGCCCCCTTGGATCATGGCTGTTGGGGCCTCTGAGAGCCTGGCTGGATGAACTCTGGAAAGCCTTCAGTGAGCTACTCTTGCTGGGTTTCTCTTTTCAAAGCAAAGTCCTTTATTTTGCACCTTTGCCCTCAAGCTATCTTCCCTATTGTCCTGGTACAAAATACCTGGCTTCATTTTAATGCAAATCTTTTCAGCAGCCAAACTGTCTATGGCCCCAACTTTGTAAAGCACCTCCTTTCTGTTAAAACTACAAACTTTTTACATCATTTAATTCTATAATTTATTCATGATTTTTATTTTGATCTTGTTAAAAGCAGGAATTAATACTCATGCTACATCCTGAACACTGCTGCCTTAAAAATTTGTCTGCTAGATTAGTCTGCAACCCTTAGTCTCAGTCTCTTGAAAAGTCTTAGAACATGGGCAAAATGTGGAGAAATTTTCTACCAGAAGAAAACATACAAGGTCTTGAATCAAACCACCAATGGAGAGCTTGTTCTCTGATAAAACCTCCTGAGCCTGGCTTTTACTATTCACATTCATGTCAATATCTAGGTCTTCTAAACTCTAACCAAAATCTCCCATAATACTCAGATTACAGCATTCTAGGCCCTTGCTAGTTGGCAACTCCAAGACTTTCAAATTTCCTCTTTCGGATGAATTCCAAAGGCTTCCACATGATCAGGTATATTCACAGCAATGACCCCCAACCCTAGTATCACTGAGACACAATACTGACACCCACAACTTAAAAGGAAGACAGTTTTACTTTGGTCTCTACTTTGTAGAGGATTCTTTGCATTGTAGGCTGGCTCCAAAGGATAAGGTAGAAGGTCTGACAGAGAAATTTTTCACATCTCATGATAGCCAGGAAGAAGAGAAAGAAGGGAGGAAGCAGGGAGGGAGGATACATTCTTCACACCCCCAGTGACATGCCTCTGAGCAGGCCCCACCTCCTAATAGCATATCAGCTGCTGAGCTCATTAGTGGATGAGTCCACTGACAAGTATAGCGGCCATGGCCCAATCACCTTCCAAAACCCCACCTCTAAATACAGATTTGAGGGAGACATCTTAGATCTAAAGCCATAACAATTTCTGTTTCTATCGTACATACTTTACCTTTTTATAAGTTTGTATTTACATATGTTTGTTATTTCCCCAAACCCCTCCAAACGTCTCTTAGTCCCCCTCTATTTACCAAAAATCTATCTCCATATTTCCTATTGTCTATGTTCTATTTTGTTCTTTGATTTATTTATTCTTTAGGTTTCTCATATAAGAGAAAGTATATGACATCTTGTGTCTGATTTATTTCACAACATTATGAACTCAAGGTGCATCCATTTTCCTGCAAATAATTCAAATTTATCATTCTTTATAACAGACTAATACTTCATTATGCATAAATACCACATTTTCTTTACACATTCATTGTTCTTGGTGTACACATAGGCTGCTTCCAAGATTTAGCTATTTTGAGTATGCATGTATCAGTGTAATATGGTGTCTTTAACTCTTTCAGGAAGACACCTGGAAGAGGAATAGCGGACTCAAATGGAATTCCTATTTTAAGTTTTTTGAAAACTCTCCATACCTTCATAGGGGTTGTATTAGATTACCCTCCCATCATCAGTACAGGAGGGTTCTTTTTTCTCCACAGCCTCACCAACCATTTGCTACTGTTAATTTCTTGATGGTTGCCACTTATTGTGAAGTATACAGAATACTCTGCTCAGAAAATCCTTGCCTATGCCTTTGACTTCAAAAAATTTACCTATTTTGTCTTCCTTCAGATTGAGTGTTTCTGGTTTAACATTTAGTTATTTGATACATTTTTATTTTAGTTTGATATATGGTGAGAGATATAGGTCTAGATTCAATCTTCTGCATATGGATAGCCAGTTTTATCAGCACCAGTTTTATCATAGTCTATCTTACTTCCAGCATAAATTTTTGGCTCTTTGTCAGTGATCAAGTGGCTCAATGTGTCTGAGTTTGTTTCCGCATTCTCTATTGGGTTCTGTTGGTTTGTGTGTCTATTTTTGCACCAGTACCATGCTATTTTTATCACTGTAGCTTTGAAGTATAACATGAAAACATTCAGGATTGTGATGCCTCCTGCTTAGTTCTTATCATCCAGGATTGCTTTTGCTATCCTGGTTCCATACAGATTTCATAATTGTTTCTGCCAATTCTGTGAGAATGTTAATATTTTATTGGGATTGCATTTAATATACATATATAATATATTTATGTAATATTATATAATAATATGTAATATATAATATATGTATAATATATATATTTAATGCAATCCCAATCAATATATGCACTGATAGATATATAGATATAGAAATATGTATCTATAAGTATGGCTATTTTGTCAGTTTTGCTCTGCCTTTTCAGGAGCATTCAACAATTATAAACATTAATACTTGCTTTTAAAAAGCTCACCTTCTTTGTCATTATCCCCTATAGAGTATATTGTACTGCTATCATATATATTTAATGCAATCCCAATCAATATATGCACTGATAGATATATAGATATAGAAATATGTATCTATAAGTATGGCTATTTTGTCAGTTTTGCTCTGCCTTTTCAGGAGCATTCAACAATTATAAACATTAATACTTGCTTTTAAAAAGCTCACCTTCTTTGTCATTATCCCCTATAGAGTATATTGTACTGCTATCTGTGGTTTGTCTGTGATGTGGGTGTGGGTAGAAGAGGAGAGACAGGGGAAACTGAAGTGGGTATACCAATGAGAAAAGAGGGAGGCAAGGGAAAGGTCAATAAGTAAAAAGTAGGAAGTAAGACTCTGTTGAAGTTTTTTTACAGCTAGGGAAATGGCTAGTGTTAAAGGGGTTTGAGGGTGTCCATGTAGGCAGGAGGATTTGCGGATGAGTAGAAGTATAGTTAGAGATTGAAGATGGCTGTAAGATTGCTGTTACCTGTTAATATGTTTGTAGGTAATTTTGTTTTGTTTGAACTCTTTAAACCCAATTTTTTTAGTATTACCCTGTCTTGTCTTTGTTACTTTTCTCCTTGCTGGAACAAAATATCCAACACTCAAAGTTAGGAGAAAAGGTTTATTTCAGCTACAGTTTGTAAAGGTTTCAGTCCATAGTTGGTTAGATCCATTGCAGGGTGGTATGGAAGAAGGGTGTGGTAAAGAGGAAATAGTCCATGCCACAGTAGGCAGAAGGCAGCAAGCAGCAGTAGTTTTCTTTCCATCCCTTTGTATTCCATCCAGGCTATAAGCCTATAGATTGGTGCCACCCACACTGAGCGTGGGGCTTCCCATTCTCCACACCCAGAACAACTCTAAACCAAATTAGTTATCACAGACCCTTAATCCCAGTATCACACAACCTAGATTCAGCCACTTGCAAAAGGCCCCACCTTTGTGCTCATGAGGCTTTGAGGGGAGATCTAGATCAAGCCATAACACTGACGCACTCTAAATGGCACAGGCTAATGTGTAGCACTGGTAATTCTTATTTTTTAATGCACTTATACAGGACTCTATTTTTATCTGTTATTTTTTTACCATTAGATAGATGGAGAGGAGGAAGGGGAAAGCAAGGAGGCAAAATAATGAGAAAGACAAAAGCACAAAGAATAGGGAGGAAAGAGAGTCAGAAGATGAGGGGAAGAAACATTAAAAGAAGGAGCAAGTCAAAGGGGAAACTCTTGAAAGTTAAAATATTAGTAACCAATATCAATAAAGAAGCAAGAAACTAAAGAAAGAAGAAAGAAAAAATGAAAACAAGGAATAATGACCCAAATACAACAAAGTAGCAAAGATACATTAATTACAATTACCAAAATAACAATGGAAATAGAAAGAAAAGGCTCCATGGAGCTATAGAATTAACCCAGAGCCTTGATATGGTTCCCTCTACACTGGCATCACTTTCTGGTTTCGAGTAGCCATATCTCCTCCGGGCGACACAATTGCCTACCTGAACCCTTGAGGACTTTTGCTCCCTCAGAGCACATGTTCTAGTTTTGAGCTCCAGGGGTGGCCTCCTAGAAACCTCCATGGATATCCCTCCTTTCATTTAGTCTCACCTTGCAAAAATGATATGTATCCCAGGCCTGGGGTGAGGGTGTGTGATACTGTGATCCAGAGGTCGTCTGTTTTCCCCTTAAACACTGAATTTTACATCTAGGTCAGTGATGGCGAACCTTTTAGAACTTTCAGTCATAACAAAGAACCAGCTGCAGCACCATAGGTTTCCACCAATCTAGGTAAACTCTCTTTTATCCTCATGTATCTATCTTTCACCCTTCCTCAGCAGAACTGCTTTTCTGAAGACCTTCACCCTGTCACCCTCTAGTCATCCATCTTCTCTCCCCCTTGCTTTTGATCATTTAACAATATATGTTTATTCCTTTTCTTTTTTTACACTTGAATAGTTTTTTACTAACTGGGTCTACCAGAATTTTCCCACAAGTCTTGTTTCCATT